TAATAAATAATGTGTAACAGAATAAAAAGAAATTAATATGATATATTATAAATCTTAGTTAAGAAGATAAATTATTTTTTTCTGCAACCAAATTGTAGAAGTTTTTATATTTGCCTTGTTTATTTGTCAATATTCGTAATGTTGGAGAAGTTCATTTTAAAAAATTTCAAACACATTAATTTGTTTTGTTTTCTGCTCGGATATATAATATACTTTATATATAGTAAAAAGTATGGTTGTTAGAAAATCGTTGATATTGTAATAATTTGTATCGTTTATCTTGTATCCATACAAAAGTGATGCAAGTGATATTATATGATGTCCTATTTTAAGTTTGTCTAGTATTAGTTTTATTTGATCCCAAAATGATTTCAGATATTTGCATGTCAGAAAGTAATGTTCATAATCTTCAATGACATTACATATATTACATAAAGGAGTTTTAGTTATTTTCCAAGAGAAAAGTAATTGTTTGGTTGGTAAAATGTTATGTAGAAATTTCCATCTTAACATTCTCAATTTATTATCTTGGATATAGTTAAAGATAAAGTACAACATTTGTTCTCTTTTCCTTGTACTGTTATCTAAATTCAGAATTCTGTCCCATTTTTGAAATCCTATTGCTTTCTCATAATATCTATTTAAAAGCGAGATGTAGATATCTTTCGAGGAAAATGTTTTTTATTGGTACCATTTTTCCTTCTCTATCTTTGAATTTAAATTCGGAGTCGGTAGCGACTTTTGTTTTAATTGATTTTTCTTTTATTAGCTCTTGTAACCACTGTTTTGGTATTGCTTTCTTCAATTTAGTATATTCCGAAAACCAATTAGCATGGCAAGATAGTTTATCTAAAATCTTATTTTGATTAATTTTTCCTTTATCATCAATTATGTCATTTACAAATAAAATTTTGCTGTTTATCCAATTTTTGAAAAAAAGACATATACTATTCAATTTGATATGCTTATTGCCCCATATTAGTTGCTGTCTGATATGATTATATGTTAGTTGATCTGATTCGTTTTCAGATTTTGAGTTTATCCATGATATAATTATTTTTAAGTTAAATTCTGGAACAATTTCTGTTAGTTTATTAATCAAATTAATTTTGTTAAAGTCTATTTTAAATATAAGGAATTCTTGTCCAAACTTGTCTAAGTAAAATTTTGGTAAGACTTTCCAATTGGGTGATGAGTCTTCATTATCAATGAATCTCTTTACCCAATTAATATTTATGGATTCTATATATTTATCTATGTCTATCATTTTAAGCCCGCCAGCAAGATAATTTTTATTTATTATAGCTCTTTTAACTTTTTTTGGTTTATTATTCCATGTAAAACTATATATTATTTTTTTAAATTTTGCGAGATATTCTTTATCAATTTCTGTTACTGATGCAACATAGGTTAATTTGGTGGGATTAGTGATTTAACAAGAGTTATTTTACCTAACATAGTTAATTTTCTTTTATTCCAATCTTTAATTATTTTTCCGATTTTTCGTATTGTCTTTGCAAGTTTAATTTTTTACACTCATTTTTATTAAGTCCAAAATATATCCCTTATACTTTTATCGGTTATTGTGTCCACTTAATGTTTTCAACTTTGTCTTTACAGGACTTTAAATTTCCGAGCCATATCCCCTCTGTTTTATTTCGATTAAGCTTTAGGCCTGAAAGTGATCCGAAAATTTCGATAATGTTCAAAGTTAATGAAACTTCTTGTTTTGAATTTAAAAATAAAGTGGTGTCATCTGCAAACTTGCTTAACTTTAGAGTATGGGTTTTATTATCTTAGTTTGATTTGAAAACCTTTAAATTTTTTATCTTGTCTTAATCTACAGGCTAAAATTTCAACAGCATAACGAAAATTATAGAACTCGCGGGACACCCTTGACGGATCCCGCGCTCAATGCTGAAGAGTCTTGAAATCCACCCATTATTTAATATACAACCCTGTATATTTGTGTATAAAGTATTTATCCACTTCAGTAAAGATTTCTGAAAGCCAAATTTCTTTAATGAACAATACATAAATTCACATTCTAACGAGTCAAATGCCTTTGAAAAATCTAAAAAAAAAGGATTGCCCCGTCTACGTTGAATTTTTCTGAATAGTCTATAATATCTTGTATTTGTCTAATATTAAACCCAATATATCTGTTTTTTTACATACCCGTTTTGATCACTGTGAATGATTTTATGCAATACTGGTTTAAGTCTTTGTGCAAGAGAATATGCTATAATTTTGGTATCTACATTTAATAAAGTAATTGGTCTATAATTGTCTAAATTTAACGGGTCATTTTTCTTGTTAACTATTTTTTCACATAACAATGATTAAAAACATCTACAGCAAAATATTGTAAGTTGGACCAGAAAGATCTAAAAAATGCAATTGGAAGACCATCAATACCCGGTGTTTTGTTAAGTTTCATTTTAAAAACAGAATTTGTACATTCCTCTATTGTCAGCTTTCCTTCAATTTCATTACTTTCGTGTGTAGTTAGTTTGCTGTTTATTTTTGTATTTTCAATATAATTCTCAATTTCTCCAAAATCTGGCTTAGTTGACGTATAAAAATTTACATGATAATTCCTCCCCGTTTCTAATATTTTACCTTGATCCTCAGTTATTTCCCCTTCACTGTCCCTAATAGCAGTAATATTTTTTCTTGTCTGTCTCGATTTCTCTAATCCCAAAAAATATTCTGTATTTTTTTCGCCTTCTTCTATCCATTTAACTCTTGATCTTATTTGTGCCCCTTTTATTTATCAGAATATAGAGTTTGTAACATTTCTTCGGTTTTCTTTATTGGATCTATTATGTTCGGCAATTTGTTTTTCTTTTCATCAAGGATATCATACTGAATTTCATTCAAAAGTTTTAGTTCTTGTTCTAATTCTTTAATTTCATTTCTTTTATTTTTAGCTTTAATTTTACAATGTTCAATATTCATCTCGTTTACCTCTGTTTTAAACAGATCACATACGATTGCTAAGCTTTTTCGGTTTCTTAATTTTTCATATTTATCAATTTAAGTGTTTATTTTCATTTTGTATGATTCGTCTTTAAGAATACTATTGTTTAATTTGAAATAATCCTTTCCTTTCTCCCCCTGACAATGATTCATCTTAAGTGAAATCGCTATATGGTCTGTATATTGAATTGTAGCGGGTTTAATATCAGTGTGGAGTACCCTAGGTCTCACGTCTTGACTAACGAGAAAATAATCAATTCTACTAGCTACTTCATTATTTTTTCTTCTCCAGGTATATTGTGATTTATTTGGATTTATTACTCTCCAGATGTCATTAACTTTTAGTTTTTTTATTAAACTTTTCAACGCATTTGTCTTATTTTTTATTTTTTGTTTATCTTTTCTATTACTTTTTCTATCTTTTATATTAAGCGTTTCATTCATATCTCCCCCTATGATAATTATACCAAGGCTATATTTTTCAATGACACTTACAGCTTTTTTAAAGAATATATTTCTATCTTTACATGTGTTTGGGGCGTAAAGGTTTACAAAAGAAAATATATTTTTATCAATTTCTATATTGATTAAAACAATTCTTCCCTCTTGATCTACATACTTGTCAATAATTTCATGTTTAATTATTTTGTTAATGTAAATCGAAACACCCATTGATTGTGTACTTCCAAAACAATGATATAATTCTCCCGTGAATTCTTTGTCTAAAGAATTATCTGAAAAATGAGTTTCTTGTAAAAATATAATATTGCATTTCTGTTGTCTCATCCATTCTTTTTATCTGATTCTTTTGTCATGTTTTCTCAACCCCTGACAATTTAAGGAACATATGTGTAATAAAGTGACATCTTGGTTGTTTTTTAAAAGTATTCGATGATAAATAAAAAAACAAAAATAAAACATACAGGTATTTACAACTATAGAAATTAGAGACAAAATAAAGAACACACATATATCATAAATGACAGAGTGAACCTTCACCCTGTGAGTTGCTAATATATATACATGTACATGTAACAGTGGTTTGATTCCGCCAGTGTACTTTATCCGGAGGAAGAAAATCCCCAGTGATTTTTATCCACCAACAAAAAATCACTTGGGTTTTCTATTCGGGTCCAGTGTAAAACATCCACCAGTCATTATAAGGTTCTAAAAAGGTTTTTTTGAAGGGGAAATATATATAAAATGTGGCTTAATAGTTTTTAGTGTATTTAAAAATTGCTTAGCTGATTTATGTAAAAAGTGGAGAGTTTTCATTCAAGGAATGTTCACACTAGTGTTTTTGAACCAGGAATGATTACACTAGTGATTTTGTACCGGAATGATTGCACTAGTTATATTATACCCGGAGGGATTAATTTCACTAGTGCTTTAGATCCATTCACTGATGAAGTGATTGGTACTCATTTTGGACACACGATAACACAATAATAATGCTTATTAACGAATGAGATTTAAATAATTTTTCTATGCAAATCTATAAAATCATATGCTTTTAAATTGTCACTAATTGTAATATTTATATTTATTGGATTGCCGAAGTTTTTTCTATGTATTTGCTTTTCGGTCGAATTGGATATTAAATCATATCTTCTATGTCAATATCAAAAGACGCATTTGTAATTGAAGCTTTATGTAAGAACAAATCTGCTCTTTAATTTTGGTTTGTATCAAGTTCAATGTCCTGATCATTGATAAAGTATTTTAAGTTATAAAAATATCCTCCTCATCATCATCAATATTATTTACTAGATTGACTCAGATGATTTAGACTGGTTCCTTGAAAATCATTTTAATTTTAACCCATTTATTTATGTAAACAATAAACCGGTCTAATATAAACAAAACAACGATATCAAGATCGACGCGTTCACACTATTTACATCCAATATTCTCTAGTGAAAAAACAGTTACCCGGAATAAACACACGGCGGAATGAAAGTACGCTTACATACACACATATATTTAATTTTATATTGACCGACTTTAATAGATTTCCACCTGTTTCTATATTTAGAATCATTGACTGGTAAAATATATCGACCTTCAAATGTATAACAATTGATTTCCACGAGCATCGACACTTACATTGAAATATATAATTGTGTTGGATGTATTACAAATGTTTCTAAATGGGTAAGTATTTTGTTTATAGATAATTATTTGTATACTTTTAAAAAGCTTTTCAGAAAGTATGACGGCGAGATTAGAGTTGCATATTAACTGAAAGATTATTTTCAAATGCTTTCGCATGCATATGATATATATACAGACATGATTGTTCGGTTTACTTGGCTTGTCTTTACTAATACGGAGATTTATCAATTTAAGGAAATCATGGATAAATATTGTTTGATTGTATATTGAAATTTTCGCAGCTACTATAAAATATTGATAATTATCTATATAGATAAAAAGGTATAAATAGATCAAACTAATTTGTTTACATTCTTTACACAGTTGAGTGGAGATAGCGATGTGTTTAATTTGCATATCTACATAAATAGCTAAGTGTTTTTGTAGTAAATTGTAAATATATTTATAGAGCTATACGACGTAAACGAACATATACATTTTTCTTTACATTAAAACAAAATAATGACATATTTATGTATAACTATACTAGTTATTTCATGTGAAAAGTTTATTATCTCATTCATGGTCTATATATTGTATATTGACAAACATCTATATATAAGTTATTTGTTGTAATGATATTGTGCAGATTATCTACAATCTAAGGGTATTGTATCATACACTGCCACATATTTTTTATTATGTTTTTCATAGCTATAGATAAAAAAGGAATATTTACAGATGTTTATACAAGTATATATCATTTTGATCATTTAGAGATCAGTAGAAAATGTTGAAAGAAAATGATATATGGTAACTGTTCTTAGAACTATGTCTTTGAAGCTTTGCTGGAGTCAGTTTCTCTATTTTGGTATTCATCGGTTGGGGTTGTTGCTGTTCTTTTTCCATGTTTTGTAGTGGTGTGTTGATTCCAGTATTCACAATAAATTTGTCAATTGGACCTTTTGCTTCTGATTTTGTCTTGGTTTTTGTTTTATCTTTTTTCTTTTGTTTCTTTTGTTTCTTTTTCTGTAGTTCAGACTCAGTTTCTGTATTTGTGACTTCACTGATATCTGTTGATGTTTCTGTTATTGCATCTGTAGGTTGCAATATGGACTGTGAAGGTGGGATTTCACTGTGATCAACATGATCACCAATGTCAGTCTCATTTCCACTTTCACTTTCACTTGAATCAGATTGATCATCATTGTTATTCACTTCAGTGTCTGATGCTGTTGTAGTTGGAGTTGGAGCTTGGCATTCTTTTGCTTTATGCCCTTCTTTTCCACATTGGTTACAAACCCAATTGTTTTGGCACTTTTCTTGTTTGTGTCCCTTTTTCAGACATTTCTGACAAGTTATGTAAGGATTTATGTAGATTTGTCCTTTATAATAAATTTTGGCATTGTACTTTCCAATTTTTGTGAATCTGGGCAAAGGGCCTTCCAATGGCTGGACATAGAAGATTCTGTCTCCAGATTGGCAGTCAGTGAGTAAACCATCTATTATCAGTATCTCTCTGAAATAGCTTGTTATAACTACGCCAATAGACTGGAAGAACCCAAAAAATTTGACCGTCATCAGCTGATAAAGGAATATTGGAGACACGTACTCTGAGATATTCTGGCTGGTCATTGAAAGAGTTGGTATTACTTTGTTTCATTAAAAAGAATGGCGAACGTAGTATCTTGTCTTGGAAAGGGATAAATCCTACTTTGTAAAGAATCACTCTGATTCAAACAAAAAATTCTCTGAAACTGACATTATCAAGATGCTTGATTTCTTGATTGACAACATATTTGTTACATTTGGAGGACGTGTTTTTCAACAGACTGTCGGAATTCTAATGGGAACCAATTGTACCCCTCTTCTTGCCGACTTGTTTCTTTAATATTATGAGGCTGACTTCATACAGGAACTTCTTAGGAAGAAAGATAAGAAGTTAGCAATATCCTTTAACTTTACGTTCCGCTGTATAGATGATGTTCTCTCACTAAATAATACAAAATTTGGTGACTATGTTGAACGAATCTATCCCATCGAACTAGAGATAAAGGATACTACAGATACAGTTAAGTCTGCCTCATATCTTGACTTACATCTATAAATTGACAATGAGGGTCGGTTGAAAACAAAACTTTACGACAAAAGAGATGATTTCAGCTTCCCATTTGTGAACTTTCCATTTCTATGTAGCAACATTCCAGCAGCGCCTGCATACGGAGTATATATCTCCCAATTGATACGATATTCCCGGGCTTGTATTTCCTATCATGATTTCCTTGATAGAGGATTGCTGCTCACAAGGAAGCTATTGAACCAAGAGTTCCAAATGGTGAAGTTGAAATCACCCTTTCGTAAATTTTACGGACGATATCACGAGTTGGTTGACCGTTATGGAATAACCGTTTCACAGATGATATCGGATATGTTCCTTATGTCGTAACTACAATACCCTTCCTTTTGACGAATGTGACCTACCGAATTAGACTATTTACTCATGTTACTGGATTTGTAATAACATAAGCAACACGACGGATGCAACATGTGGAGCAGGATCTGCTTACCCTTCCGGAGCACCTGAGATCACCTCCGGTTTTGGTGGGGTTCGTGTTGCTTAGTCTTTAGTTTTCTTTGTTGTGTCATCTGTACTATTATTTGTCTGTTTGCCTTTTTATTTTTGGCCATGGCGTTGTCAGTTTGTTTTCGATCTATGAGTTTGACTGTCCCTCTGGTATCTTTTGTCCCTCTTTTACAGTTATTCTTGGGTTTTTATTATAGATTGTTAAAAGTTTATTACGTATAGATACGCCAGATATGAGGAGGTGGTCTCTTACTTCTTCTTGTGCAAGGGAAATGCGCCACATTCCCTTGACTCTTTGTAGCCCCTTCATTTGGTATCTTGGTATCTCTGTGCCGATACTTTTGTATACTTCATCGTGTGTTAAGAAGTCTTTTTGTTGAAGTATTGAAATGCCGAATAAATCTATCTCAAGGATGAATACGGGCTTAACTGACGATAGTTCTTCAAGATTATCATTTTGATTGTCATGATTTTGATTTGCTGGTTTTGAAACAGCGCCGGCATATGAAGTGTTATCGGCCATGTTGTTTGGTTTGGTTTAGTTGACGGGTTGATTATATTAAATTTATGGTTTTAAGAGTTTATATAAACTGTTAAATATAATTTTCTACCATTCTTGATAATTGTTTTCTGTAGCAAAATATAAATTGGTAGTCCTAGAAGGTTATTTAACTTATTATTAGACTAATTTTGAGGAGCATGAAAAATTCCGTGGATATCGTTCAATGCCCCTCAGATCCTCTCTGTCTGTTTTCTTTGTTCACACATTGTTGTCAATATAATGGAATTGTATGCGACTGTCATACAAGTGAGAGGTTCAGCTAGCTATAAATCCCATGTTTAATCCACTTTTTTCTACATAAGGAAATGTCTGTACCAAGTCAGGAATATGACAGTTGTTTTCCATTCGTTTGATGTGTCTGAGCTTTTGATTTTGCCATTTGATAAGGAACTTTCCGTTTTGAATTTTCCTTGGAGCTCGGTATTTTTGTTATTTTACTTTTAATTCAACAAAATAAAAGATTTAATAACGCAAAGGTAAAAGTTAAATTGATAGGGGAAAAAAGATACAAAAATCTGTCTTTTTCACCCCATATTTCGACCCTGCGTGAACTGAAGTTCGTCAAATGCTATATCTTTTTTTTTATTACAACTACAATTACAGGTTCTGGGCTGTATTCAGGCCTTTTGTAACGCAGCTTCATTTGTGTACTTCAACTTCATTAATATTGTTTAATCTACTCATCATTTATCATGTTTATTACAAAATATTGCTTAATTAATGTGCGGGTGTTATTGTGACGTTTTAAAAGGAAAAGGAAATGAAAAGCAGTTTTTATTGAAAACTCAACTTCGCATTTCTTCTTCATTAACCTAAACAAGATGGCAGGTATGTTATATCTTAGGGGTATGTTTCTATAAAATTATTTATATTTCTTAGTATGTTTTCACATGATAATTTGAAAATAAAGAGAATTTATATAAAAATACTGGATATATCAAAGTTATGCTAACAACCAAGTAAGATATATCAAGATTGAGTTAAAGTTTGAGTAAGAAAGAAATAGAGTTACAGATCGAGTTTAAAAGTTGAAGTTATAGTTCGAATTTGGGTTCAAAGTCGAATTTGGAATATTTTAGGAACAACCAAGAAAGTGGTGTTTTATAAAAAAAGATACCAGAATGAATATTAAAAACGGGGAAATTGGATAGCCAAAAGATAAATTTCACATTTTCAAAATATGAAACGAGGATAAGAAACTTTAAATATGTTGACAGTATTTTTGCAGCTAGGTAAAAAACATAGCTATACTATTTGGATATTATGGACTTGCTCTTAGTTTTTCCTTTTGTATGTTCTCATACGACACTGTTATTCTTTGAAACCAATGATTTTTCCTATGAGACTATATCAGGTATTATGAAGATTTACATCCCGTACACAATGGATTTGACTATTTCAGGACTAACAAAATCAATTGTCTCCCTTTAAGAACAGTTCGTGACGTGATCCCAATTTGTGTTAAACTATTTTCAACAGATAAAAAAAACCAGTTACAACAACGGAAAACCAAGTAAATGTCATACATTATACGGAATTACAACACTGTTTAGGCTTATATATGTAATATATGGACTTAAATAAAAAAAATTACAATCAGGCCATTAGACTATGAAATTTTACAGTTCAAAAATAATATTCTCACGTCTTTCAAACTTTTAAGCGCTATGCACTGGGCGAATGAATGAATACACTATCTAACGTTTCAGTTATATGATCTTCTATATGCCTAGGCAACAGCTTAACATAGCCATTTAATAAATATGCATGTTTTCATGTCCGATATTTGACAGGTTTTTCATGCATAATCAAAAGCTCGACAAATGTAGTTTTCGCAAAATGTTTCATCTCTTTAATTAATTGAATAACAGTTACAAATCATTGAAATAAGTATTACAAATAACATTCATGATC